GAGGACAAACCACCACCTCAAAGAACTGTATCATACATCAAGTCAGTCCTCCTGAACTACCTGTTCCACGAAGTTCTGACTTTCTCTGGTAAAGTTTCAATGGTACTGCATCGCTGTGGCACAGGGAAAAGCTGAGGGAGGTACGGCGAGGAGGAGAAAACTGTGAAATTCAGAGGAGGTGCTGACTTCATATCCAATTGGACACAGATAAAGCTATTACTAAACAAGGAATGCCTAACATCCTAAATTCCATTTAACCACTTGTAGCCTGTAGAAGTAGCAGTCATAAAATAAAGCACTGCCTTTGCAATGAAAGGCCTGGGGCTGAGGTCTGGAACAAATTCCTGGCCTGACAGGGACTTTTTAGGAACCTGGACAAGCAGCTGCACTGCCTGCACATCAGATTCCCACTCTTGGGACACATTTTTTTCTGCCAGATTTTGTCTCTGCTACTTCAACTGTATGTTCACAGGGTCAGGCACAAGCTTCCCTAACAGCAAGGAGCACAATGAGACCTTCATCTTGGTTGGGATTGCTAAGGAGTACAAGCAGTAAAAAAAGCAGTAAAAAATAATGATGATAATGATGGGAGTATTTTTAGCACAGGATGCAGAGTTGCTCCAGAGAAGTGCAGCTACAAGGCAGTACAGAGAGCTGTGCTGAGAAGTGAGAACCAGAAAATGTGAAAAAGAAATAAGAATTGCTAGGCTGGAGAAATACTCAATTAACTTTAACTTTCTTAGGTTCAAATCTGAAACTTGGTGACCCGTAAAAGGCTGTCCAAGCAAACCTATGCAGTGGACCAATGTGCAGCAAGTCCAGTCCTTCTGAGAAGCATCTGCACTAGAGAGTAAGTGCTGTATGCTCTGTCTGCATACGCCTACTAGCTCTAACACATTCTGGATGTGTCAGACTTGTTGCATAGAGAAAGAATGGTACAGTGCATGTGCAAGCATTAAATCCAGCCTACTCTGAGTATGATGGACTTATGTTTCTGCAGCTCACCTACATAAGATCTGATGCTTCCTGTCAATGACAGAGTCACTGGGTTTGTACCATGCAGCCAACCCAAAATCACATACAGATCAAATCTGACATTTCTGCACGTCTGTAAGTCTTGTCAAAGTGTCTGGAACAAAGCTTCATCCAAGAAAATAGAAAATTATGTCAGGCCTATCCCTAGAATTCCATGAGATATTATTGTTATCTATACAGTGCCAACCAAAAAAACCTTCCCAAAACTCTGAGAGATGATTTACTCCTGTAAACCGAAAATAGTACTTCCTTTTGAAAAATATTTCTCAGCTGAGATCTTGGAACAGTATTCCGTTTTTTGGAGATCTGCCAAGCAACCTCACAAAACCATGCAAGCTCCACAGCTGCTAAGATGCTGAAACACACTTGATCATTAATCCTGTCACACCCAGTCCAGAAATCAATTACTCTGACCACTTCCACTAATGCCCAAAAATGAACAGCTCAGCCTCTAAAAAAATTGTCAGATGAAAAATCTTACGCATGTCTTAGTATGACAAATTCTGAAATATTTATGCAGTCAGCATTTAAGAAAACTGAAGTTTAAGCAAAATAACTTTAAAACTGTAGTAAATAGATGGAGTATCTGAACAAAGATTACCTAGCTAATCTTGAAAAGGTAAAATCAGGTATGTGTTTAAACAAACTCTAAAAAGGTTGAATGTTAGAAAAGCAAATTGTATTTTAAATACAAGATTTGTTTGCAGGCACTAGGGGACAAAACAAGCTGCATTTCTACCAACGTTTCTGTAGCCCATTTGTTCTACTACTATGCTCCTTACAGTTTTAACATATAACTTATTTGAAAATAGACAATTCTCTAGCAAAATTCAGCAAAGGTTGGTTTTGTAAAGATGAGACCAAGTATGCAGAACTGCAGCTAGTGAAGTCATAGAAGCAGAAAGATCTATGGTGTGGATGTGCTGCAAGGTTTGCTTTGCCAATATGTGCATTAAAATCTTGGATTTGAATTACATTATAGAATTATTAAATCTTGAGATAGAGCTATAAAACTTGTCTACTAACTTATCATCACCAGTTGAATAGTTAACAACAAAGCAAAAAGTCTGAATTATGTTTAAGACACATAATGTTCCCATTCCCTGATTTTACTCAAACAGCTCATAGATTCAGAGAATCACCAAGGTTGGAAAAGACCTCCAATATCACCCAGTCCAACTGTCCACCTATCACCAATATTTCCCACTATACCATGTCCCTCCGTACAACATCCACATGTTTCCTGAACACTCCACTCAGTGACTGCACCACTCTTCTGGGCAGCCCATTCCAGCACCTGACCAAGTCCTCGGGGAAGTATTCCCCAGTGTCCAACATGAATCTTCCCTGATGCAACTTGAGGCCATTCCCTCTCATCCTACTGCTAGTTACTTGGAAGAAGTGGCCAATCCCCACCTCACCACAACCTCCTTTCAGGTTGCTGTAGTGAGTGATAAGGTCTCCCCAGCCTCCTCTTTTCCAGACTGAACAGCCCCAGCCCCCTCAGCTGCTCCTCATAAGGCCTGTGCTCCAAACCCCTCACCAGCTTTGTTGTCCTTCTTTGAACAAGCTCCAGGGCCTCAGTATCTTTCTTAGTGAGAGGCCCAAAACTGAACACAGTGCTCGAGGTTTGGCCTCACCCCTCTGGGCTTGAGTACAGAGGGACGATCACTTCCCTGCTCATTCTTACCCATATATGAGAACTGACTACCCTATGTAACTTCCTTCTAGCAAAGATAGCTTCCCATGCCTCACAAATGATTCAAGAAAGGTTCAAGACTCAGTCCATAAACATTTTTATGTGGGCATCTATATAATACAACTATGCTTATTTCATTTAGAGAGTTGAAGCGACTTGCTTAGTTTTATAGCACATGTTGCCTAGCTCTGGGGCCAGTGTAAGGAAATTTCCAACACTCCTCTTCATTTTATTTTATTAATTTTTAAAATTTTTAATCCTCAAACCATATGAAAGTTATATTACCTGATAGAAAATAGGGTATATCTCTATTTTTGTGCATTATGGAAGAAGACTCAAATAAGTGGGTTAAAAATATCATCTTGGTTCATCCACTTCTCAACACACCTGCTGTTCTCCATTTCAGTCATAAAATCTTCCAGGTCAAAGCTGAAATCATTACTAGAGAAACCAGAATGATGAAGACACTCAGCTGCTAGTTTCTAATGTAGTCTTACCAAGTTACTGTCAATCAACGACTGTAATTTAAAAAAACTCCACAGAATGCTGAAGAAATATTAAGAACAATTATCTCATGTCCAATTGGAACGTTAGACCTCTAGACAGAAGGGTTCATTCCTTGCAGCCTGCCAACATTTTACTAAATGACACTGGCCCTTTAACAGATGGGATACATGCTTCCTAGCTTGCCAGGATCCTAATAAAAGACACTGGCTTCTTTAAAATGAAGGACACATACCTCTCAAATTGCCAGTAGCCAAAATGGGAGTCAGCAGTTTAAAATAAAGGCACTCATCAATCTAGCAAATAGGAAGCAATATAGAAATTTAAAAAGAAATGGTACAAAGTTACTTCTGACATTACTTAGCTTAGATGAAGCAAATACTTAAAACACTGGCTAAGCATATACAGTAGAAGCACTGTAGCAACTGGATACCTTAATACCCTTTAAAATGAATAGAACAAATCTTAGCAGCAGACTTCAACGGTTGGGGCTTAGATTTATTTTTTCTTTTTAAATCCATTAGCTATCAATCCACTCACACAGCTGACCATGCACTGCTTGACTCAAATGAAAGCAGGATATCTTTTCCCTGGGCACTGGCCAGCACCACAAAGGCTGGGCAGTGTGCTCATCTGTACTGTGAGAAAAGATTTTGCCTCTCAAAATGAACTACATCTGCTCATCTCCTAGGAACAGGATTCTCCAGTGAGGATTCTCCAGCATTCAATGACACCTCTGACAGCTTTCCCTATGCATTGACAACCCATAATACTACAGCTTCAAGAGTTTTACAGCAACTGCAAAAACCTGTTTAAAGCCAGCAAGTATGGGCTCTTTAACTTTTGTGACAGCAGTCATCAGAGGGGAGCAATGACCCTCACTGGCATGTTATGAAGGGCACCTGCGTGTCTGCAAGTCTTAGCAAGCCTTGTGAGCACTTACAAACTATCCCAGACACGGACAGATCTGCAGAAGGAGAAAATTACACATTCTCTGACTGGAAAGGTAACAAAACTGGTAAAATTGAGCTTTAAGAGGGAACTTTTTATGAACAAGACAGAGAACTGGTCTTATTCACATCAGTAGTTCCTGTATTTCAGCAACAGAACCTTACTTCAGATTTACTGCACCTCACTACTGGTGGCCAAGTGATGCCTATGAACCTCAGCTTCTTGTCTTGTCCAGCATACCCTTTCCCACTCCTTGGTTGTTTGCAGACCCCCTGCTGCTGACTCTTCAAGACTGACTTTAACTATTTAGACACGCTTTCTTCCTGTTGTCTGCCTACTCAGTATTTGCTGACTAGATACTTTTGCAACACAAGGCTAATCAGCAAACTCTTGTGTTGATATGAACATACTTAAGTACAAAAACTACCATCTAGTGGTACAGCTGGCTGAAGCTAAAAGGTCTGGTGTACTGGAAAACACAGCAGAGGCTGCTGGGGAAGAAAGTAGGAAGTTCTTGCTTTAGAGAAATACAGAAAAAAGAAGGAACTCATCTTGACTAGCTTAGCAGAAGTTAAGTTCTGAATAGCAGTTACACAGTGAAGTGCAGAGAAGTTAGAGCAGGAAGGCAGGCTCCCATAATACAGCAGCCCTAACTCAGCCAGGAGAACAGCCTAACACCGTCTACTGCCAGGACCTGTCTCCAAGTCTAGGACTTCTCTGGTCAGGCTGCCTGTCTGACCATTTACTTCAGGCAGTCCTTGCTTTGAAGATTTTCTTCTGACGAAATAAGATGCTGTGATCATTTACTCACCTTTCACGTTCATCTTTCATTTTCTCTAGATCCTCTTCTTTAAGTATGTCATGCTTTGGATTCCCCTTCTGATCTGCTTTCCCACTTTTATCTTCTTTTTTCTTTCCAAATCTGTTTAAAATATCAAGGAAGGAGTCAGGAGGAAGTAATTACCAGAAGAAAAAACAGTACTTATCTAACATAAAACACAGAAATTTTAGGCAATCATGACACTAAGAGCTTTTATCTTGGTCAATCCCAGATCCCATGCTGCAAAAGAAGTTACCAATTTTAAATAGGCTATGTACATTAGGTAGGTCTAGTTACACATTGATTTGGTCTCTGAAATGTTTAAAGACGCTGTTTGAAAGAGAAAGTAGTAAAGCCCAACAAACCTGAAATGCAAAGCATTGTAGTAAGGGCTGGACTATCATCAGTGCACATTTTAAGGTAGCTGAAGGTTCTTCTTACCACACCACAGCTCTTGAAGAAGTAATCTGCAAAGACTACAGTACTGCAACCCAGACTAGACCGCATGTCCTGCTTTTATCAGTATCTACTGTCTCTTAAATCATATCTGCTCTTAATTTAAATATTTGTTCTTTGTTTAAATAAGCTTGCAATCAGAAAGAATAAAATCTTGCCATGTTCTTAAACTACAAAATGAGACAGTCTATATGAGCTCTTTCAAAAATACTCCTGGGTTTTAATTTCTGCCTGGTAACGTACTATCATTTAATATTTATGCTGTGAAACTCCTCCAGAGACCCCAATCAGTTCGGGGGTCCCACTGTTTTACACGCTGTAGAGATATGCATAACATATCAGCCTGCGTTATGCAGTTCATAAAAGGTGACTAAACTGGAGAGCCACATTTCATTTCTGATAGAGGCAGGCAGAATGCAGAGAGGTCAGATATGCCAGATATGCTCGTGAATTATGCGTCAAAAAAGTGTGAAAGCCTCCCTTCCTCTTCTCCAATTCGTAATTCGCCACTCAGTAGGTAAATAAATGACCACTGTCTTCCCATGCAAATCAATGTGTTCTTTCATGTAAATCAACGCCAGTAACGTACAAAAAGGTAACTACTTCTTTATGAAATGTATCATATTGCAAACTAATTACTCTAACTGAAAATTACAAACTCTTCTGCACTATTGCCTTGGTGATTTTTCCTTTCCACATTTTCTCCATGTCATCCTAAGTTGCCTCAAGTGGAAGAGCAGAACTATTATGCATACACTTCAGTTGCAAACCACTGACTTCAGGTTTCTCCTCTGACCAAAGCAGAAATCTTGCAAATAATCGGGCTTATACGTTTACAATCCCAACATTTATTGAACTTAATAATTATGAGCTTATGAGCAAATGAAGCTCACATGGACTCTGCAGCAAGTCTTCCACACAATGAGAACTTGGTTACAAAGGGAACGATGACAGCAGCCAGCCGAACAACAGATGGCTCAAGGCACCCTGCCTTTGAGTGCTAGCATACGCCGGGAAGGTCTCATGGCAGTTTTCTCAAGAAAAGCAGCTTGGTCATAATCCAACTCTCGTCCTTAGTATATATTCAGTCTGATTACCTTTCTCCCACTGTTTCAATTATAGTTTTGTGGAGTCTTATATTTGACTACATGTATTGATTCTGAAAACATTATTCTTAGGCATACCTTATTGCTGCAGGGAGTTGGAGTCGAATATGTTGCATACTCAGGAGAAATGAAACAAAAATAAAAGTTCAACATGCTTCCCTTTCAAGTCCATCTATTATTTCTTCCTTACAAAGGAAATAAATACATTTTAAATAAGACAAAGTAAAAACCTTGATTGTAATAACTGCTAACATGACAACTCTCTGCAAAAATAGTGCTGTCTGTCTGCTGGTAGAGCTGCTCTCTCATAAATTGGCAAATTCCACTTTCATTGTAAATCAGAAGTAGTGAGCCGGTCTTGATGGAAAAAACCCTGATTTGTTGTCTTAAGGTGTGTAGTTTTTTGGTGTTGTTGTTGTTTGGTTTTGGCATTTTGTTATTTTTTTCCTATTTTTGACTTCACATGGGATTTGTGAAGACTTACAATTTTTACCTGTTACACTAAGTATGCAACATACAGCTCTAGGCTAAAGAAATGTTCACATTTTTTGCTTCTTTTTCATGTTGCTACATCATAAAAATCCACTGCTTTTTATTATTACTGTAATATGTTTTTCAACAAAGATCTTGCACAAACATTAAAGAATAAGAGGAGCAAACATTTAACACTAAAGAAAAGCAATATAGAGCAGAAAGCATTAAGCCACACAGACACAAAAAATATAATCTCTGCCTGAATTTATGCATCCTGTCCTAAAATTTATGGTCTGGTTACCAATGTGTTCTAATTGCCATGGGCTTCTGATGATAAAATTAACTTCCACTGATTGTAATTTTGCTTGGTTTTCTGCACTATAGGCTTAATGGTTCTCTAGTGCTTATAGGACAAAAACCAAAACAAAACAAAACAAAAAACCCAGAACAAAAAGTGTACTTGCTGCCCAACTGGGCATCCTGTTCTCACTGAAATCAGTGAGAGGCCCACTACTGATTTTAACAAGGACAGGATAAAATCTATTGTCAAAATTATACTATGGAATTAATCAAATTCATATTAAAATTCTATGAGAACTGAATGGCTTTAGGACTTTAAGTTTCCAGTTCTCCAGGCAACAAATAATTGGATTCTGGTAAAATATGCCTTTTATAGTAATACTATTGACAGAAGCATAAAAACATTAATGAAAAGATATATGGCACATAAATTTTTAAAAGGTCTGGTTTGCTATGCTCAACACAGCAGAATTGTCTTTATTGTCAGAATTGTTACTCTTAAAATCTTATGTGTAAATGGTGAAATACATTTAGAAGACGTGAAACAAATGGATCGGTTGCACCCTCCCATTCTACACCTACCTATAACCGATTTACGCCAAATGAATCCACTTGTAATTGTAATGACCAAAAAGAAATACATCCGTTACTTGCCAGTTTGCTTGAAAGACTGTCCCAGTTCTCTGATTACCCACTGTAAATGCCTGGGAAGTACTGTGAAAGAAGTGAAAGCCTAATGGCCCAAGCATACTTTCCAGTTGAGAAAACTAATATTCCAACTGCTCAGAGCACAGTCGTGTAAACCAAAGTATAAAGGAATTTTCTTTAAGTGATCAGATCTCAGAGTGATGATACATCCTTATGGGAAAAGCCCATATGCAACAGCTGAGAACAAACTATAGCACAGTGAGGGATTATCCTATTTCTTTGAATTTCCAAGAAGAGTATGGGTGTTCTGCAAATAACTAACATTTTCCCCTCAGAAACATTAAATGAATGAAGTCTCTGAATACCAAGTACATCATCATCTCGCAGTATTTATTACCATTGAATTGGCTACAGTATAAAGGCTAATGTATGCTTCGATTCAGGGCTTTTATCCCTATTCCAGTGGATAAAAGTTAAAACAAGCCTTCTATAGGCCTGCTCTGTTATATTTGGGATAAACGTCTTACATGCAAGACCTAAAGCTGTGGTCATGGCAACACTTCATTTCCATGTGGAGCTGGGCGCTTCCAGATCTCAAACGTATTGATATTTGCTTCAAGGATTAAAGAGCAGGCAGGTCTATGAAATCCTGGACTTCTAAGCACGAGAAACATCTGTTGGGTAGAACCCTAAGCAGCTTGTAGACTAAAGTCAGCAACTTGGATTTCTAAGTTAATTCAGTTGCCTTAGATCAGTAGGTGTCACTGCAGCCAACATGGAACATAATGGAATTGCAAGCTTCTGCAGAGAAATAATTCCAGAGGGCAGCGGGCATATGACACAGTCAAGCAAGATACACAGCCTAACAATGTCAAACTCTTGACTTGTCCAGAAATGATCTGTAAAAAAACGGACTGATCTGTAAAGTACATGTAACAAAGCTCTGGCTCCTAGTCACTTCACAGCAAATGGGGAAAAATGCGATTATTAAAGCAGCTCCCTTATGAAAGACTAGAAATAACCCTTAAAATTAAATTTAAATATGAGTAAGAATGAATGAGTGAGCAAGAAAGATAAAGATACTAATAAGGTATGATTTTCAGGTCCACACAGGGACTATAAAAAGCTTATTAACTGCCACTACTGCTGTGTGTTTTAAGTTATTTTATCATTCTGCTTTACAGCAGAAGAAATGCTCTAGAAGCAGTGCTGTGCTTTGATTAATCTCTTTCATACATACACTTTTACAGAGTATTAAACATTGCTATAAAGATCCTTAGTGAGTCAGACTCGTTTGTGATTACAGACCAGGCTCATTTTACATTTATGTTAATAGCAGCATTAATGAAATACATCTTTTACGTTTGTAGTGGCTCTCTAAATACCTAAAAGGTTTATTATTAAATGTTTACTTATTGGACAGAAGCATGCAGTTGCGTATTACACTGGTAGGACTGAGAGCTTTGCAACAGCTGAAACAAATACAGAGAGATGAGAGTACGTTTGGGTAAAGGCTGTGATTCCAAGAACAGAGCAAGCATGGCAAGGGCTGGGCAACACTGTTCAAACCTGTACCACTATCCAAGAAGATGGCAGCACCTCCCTGAGGGAAACCTCTGTCAGAGGGACAGGTGTGCACCTCTTCTCCTTGTCCCACTGCCACTGACTTCATCCCATACCCTCCATGGTGTCTTCAGCCACAGCAACAATGGGATACCACAGCAAAAGACCTACTGCAGCAAGACCTCCTCCTTGCCCACATGCTAATATTTTGTTGCTCCTGTTTTGTTATGTCAACATTAAACTAAGTGGCTTTTTTTTTCTTTTTTCTTTTTTTAAACATTTACAGTATCAAGCTGCTGGAGGCTAGACTAAAATGACTGAGCTTCCAGATCCAGTCTAATGGGAGTAACAGTGATCTTTTTAACAATTCTCATTAAACACAACCTCCTCCTCCAACCCGTTTATTTCTTTGATGCCCAAATTAGCATCTCTTCTCCAGCATGCTGAATTAATTAGTACAGTGACAAAGAATTAGTGCAGATAGGATCAAAGCTGAAACCGTATTTATCTGGAATTTGAAATTAATAGCAGAGAATATTAACCCTCAGCATTTCA